TAGGTACATCAGATAGTGTAACATAAGATGAAAAAAAATTAGGTTTCTATGAGATTTTTACATGAGAAGATTCCGACGGTAGGAATAACATATTTTTTAAATGTATGCCTGGTCTATTCGGTACATAAATACTATTCGGTTCAGCCCGTATGTGATAGGCGCGGCGCACTGGCTTTACAAATTTATCTAAAGATAGAAACTCAGAACTCACTTTTTATTTCAAAGCAAACAGGCTGGCGTCAGCAAGGCTGACGATGGCCATGCGCGCGAAGAAAGTTTCTTCCTCAGCAGGTATCATGTAAGATCACTTAGCTATCGAACGTCCGTATATACCTATTGGGCGTCCGTATATAGCTATAGAACGTCCATATATAGCTATTGGACGTCCGTATATAGCTATTGAACATCCACGTACTTCCTCAGCAGGTGTCATGTTAGATTTGAGGAGTGGCTTGAGAGACAGAGACGGTACGGCGTCCTTATCTACCGCTTGACGCAGGTGCTTACCGGACACGGAAGTTTCGGTAGGTTCCTGCTTCAGATTGGGCGGGAGGAAACGCTCGGGTGTCATCATGGCGAAGGCCGCCCGGGGGACACGGTGGAACATAAGGTGGCAGTGTGCCCTGCGTAGGCTGAAAACCGCCGTGTCATCAGGAATGTGATCGGCGACGGCGATCTCTCGCGTCCGACACTGGTTCAGACCATGGTACGGAGCGAGGAAGACTGGGATGCCGTCTCCTCCTTCTGCAAAGCAGTCCTGCTAGCTAAGGAGGAGGCGGAGCTCGTGAGGGAACGAGGCTCCTCACGCTCCAGACGTCACGAGAGACACTCCAGGCCTCTGGGATCGCGAAACGGTCTCCGTCCATCGTAAGCACGGGCCTGCGGTCGGCGAGCACGGATGACTTGCCGCCCGATCAGAACCAGACCCGAGCGTACGGCGCGTCACGTTCCGCATACGCCCCAAGGAGCCATCACACCACCACAGATGGAGCTGATGCCGATACGGAGCCTCGGAGGACTTAACGGGTGACCGGGGCTCCGACTCGAAGTGCAGGAATAGGAACTCCCTCTCGCCTTACCCGCGCGGCCGCCGGCGGCCGGTGGGAGAAGGCATTTTTTTTTAAGGGGGGAATATCATAGAATTACTGCTCCCGCCTGGGTGAGGCGGGAGGATGTGTCAGACTCTTACTGACTAAAAACCACCCCGTTCCTTCTCCTGCACGTCGAGCCGGAGCCCCGGTTACCCGTTAGGTTCTCCGCGACATATACGTATTGGGCCCCATCTGTGGTGGTCTGATGGTTCTTTGAGGCGCGTGCGGAACGCGACGCGCCGTACGCTCGGGTCTGTTTCTGGTCGGACGGGGAGCCACCCATGCTCGCTGTCCGCAGGCTCGCGCTTACGGTGGCCGGAGATCGTCCCGCGATCCCCGACGCCCGGTGTGTCCATCGCGATGGCTGGGTTGCGAGGAGGCAGCGCTTCGCTGCCTCACGCGTCTCGCCTCCTCCTTAGCTAGCATGACTGCTTCGTAAAAGGAGGACACGGCATCCCAGTCCCCCTCGCTCCGCATCATGACCTGCACTAGGCCCGGACGCGAGAGGTCACCATCGCCGATCACTTCCCTGAGGGCACGGCGGTTCTCAGCCCATGCAGGGCATTCCCCTACTGTGTGTTCCACCATGTCCTCAGGGCGGTCCTCGCAGTGATGACACCCAGGCGTTTCCTCCCGCCCGTGGCTATTGGGCGTCCATATATAGCTATTGAGCGTCCGTATATAGCTATTGGGCGTCCGTATATAGCTATTGGGCGTCCGTATATAGCTATTGAACGTCCACGTATAATTATTGGGCGTCCGTAATTAGTAAATAATATAATAAGAATATATCTTTTTACTCGAATGGTTTTATTAAGTATATATTTTCAAAACTTCTTCTAGGGCAGCGCTGCTGAGATGCCTCGCGCTTGGAGATGATGAGAGCTCTAGCATCGTTTCGCTGAGACGCGACTGTCAAGCGCGGGCATAGAGGTAGAGGTCCCAGTAGAGGACTTTATCGCTAGAAATTATGATCTATGAGATACACTTTTATTTTAATCTAAACCTTAAGTAACCGTAGACCGCACCTAATCTGAACTTTGTGCGCAAATATTGTATTGAATTCCAATTTCATTTAAGACAAGATTCCTAATTTAATATTTCTATTTGTGGCCACTCGATTAACTCCTCTATTGGATACTACCTCTATTGTTGAAGCCTGCGCTTCAGCGGCGCTGCCCAATCCCCTACCTTTGAAACCAGCTCTAATTGTATCAAATATTTAATTGGCGGCTTATTGATATGAGGTTACTAATCCTAAGTAAGCAAATAAAAACAAAGAATATGGATATCATTATACTACCTCGTTGGCCGAGTGGTCACAAGTGCGACTGCCTGGCAAAGAGTCTCGGGTTCCATTCCCGGGTTGGGCAAAGTATTACTGGGTGTTTTCAAGAGTCTGGAAGTGTGCCCGGTATATGGCAATAAGCTCACCCCCTATTAGATGGGACTCATAACGTAAATAGTAAAAATGTGGATATTACATTGTACAGTGGTATTAAGTGCCGTAATGTGCACCTCTGCTTAGTCCTTCGGGGAAAAAGACCTTATGTTATGTTAAATATGGATATCACTTTTATTCAAGTGTTTATGTTTTATAATCAAAAACATTTATAATTCCTAATTGGATCTTTATAACATTCCGAGGACTAGAAGAAAGAAGACAAACGTTGATTGATTAGATCAGTAATACGACATTCATTAATTATTCAGTGTTAGATGCACCTTCGAACCACATAAATAGATAAAGTTAATAAAATTACGTCAAAATTTATACGGAGACTATACTATCTAAATACACATTTAATACAAGTTAAACTCTGGTTAACCTTTTTTGTGGTAAGACATATAATTTTGTCACTTTAGTACTTATTTCTAAGATTCTTTTAAGGAATTAATTTATACCCTCATCTATTATATTTCACTGATCATTGGTAATAATTGAGAACAGGATTACAGATAAGTTGTCGTAAGTTGCACTGAGATGTATTAAAATGTAAATAAAACTAATTTAATAAAATCGGACTCCAAATCATACGCAACACATCCGAAATCTACGACGGTGAATATTGTTTTGAATGCGGTAGATAATATTATGATCTATTGAGACAGATTTAATGAGCGAGCTGGCAACGTCGCTGTTATTTTTTTGAGGACGCAAAATACGTGGACTTATAGTCAGAAAATCCCAAAAATATACAGCTGTGAATATACGCGCAACAGCAGCGCCCTATCTGCGCTGAGATTTCTTTGGGAACTTTTCAAAATATTGTTATAGCCATTGGACCGATCTTTTAGCCTCTGTCGATTTTTAACCTACGTGTAGCCAGGACCAAAAGGACCTAAGTAGCATAGACCAAAAAAGTGGCGTCCGATATGCGGACGCCAAAAGCTGGTGGACGCCAGATTAAATGCACTTTTGCCTTCATGGGACGTCCAATCGATTGCGGGATGTAAATATATATCCGGATGTAAATATATATTTATTCCATACAAAATTATTCATTAAAACCTTAATAGGGCATTAAGTTATATCATTATGATATGAGCTTATGGCACCGACTTCTAACCTATCAGTGGGTGGGTAACCTATCAGTACTAATAATAGTTATTTTTTGCTTTTTAGTTTTGATTTTTTGTTTGTTATTAGTTTTTGGTTTTTTGAAGTCGGTTTTTAAACGCAGTTTTTATTTTATTATGTTATCATTTTCAGTGTAAAGCTACATAATTATACCCGTTTTGTTACTTATAATCTAATATATATACATATATATATATATTTAAGAGAGGAAAATCATCGAATTTCTTCTTCCGCTTGGGTGAGCCGGGAGGGAGTGTCGGACTGTTACTGACTAAAAATCACCCCGTTCCTACTCCTGCACGTCGACCCGGAGCCCCGGTAACCCTGTTAAGTTCTCCGCGGCTCCGTATCGGCATCAGCCCTATTGGGCCTCATCCGTGGTAGTCTGATGGCTCCTTGAGGCGCTCGCGGGACGTGACGCATCGTACGTTAGGGACTATATATCTGTGATGGTCACTCTTATACTGAATCTTGTTTATCTAAGTCGAAACGGGGTTTCGTTGAAAAATATCCTCCGGTAACCTCACTCACACAACGCAAGCGTTGTTTCACGCCGGTTTTCTGTGAGGTCGTGATATCACTCCGGTCGAGCCGGCCCATGCGTGCCGAAGTATGGCTCTCCCACACTTAAATATTTTTTTGTTTTTTTTTTCATATTTGACGGGCCGACATTTGAATCTCGCCGGGTGATAAGCGATGATGCGGTCTACGATGGAGCACGGCATCCCATAAGCAACCTATTCACTCAGGCCTTGAAGACTCCCAGATACCTTTCAGGAAATACAGACTCTGGCAAAGAATTCCTCTCCTTAGCAGTACGCACAAGGAAGGTTGATGCGATAATAATACTAGTAGATTACCTTTTTATAAAGGATACTGCATCATCTGCTACTTTCATCTCTACACCATGTATAGGTTGACTGCCCAAAGCATCACGTCCTCCTGTCCACACTTATTGTACTGTATTACTATATTTTTGTCTATCATTTTGAATTAAATAAATAAATAAATACATTCTTACGTAATTATTAGAGAGAGGTGGTGCCTCGGAGGTTTATGATGCATGAGGGTGTGGGTTCGAAACCTACCAAGAGCAAGTACCAATGTGACTTTTTCCGACTTGATGTATGTGTCACTACAGACAACCGGTGAAGGAAAACATTGTGAGGAAACCTGGACTTATAATTTCTAATCAGAAATTTGAAATCGCCAACCCTTCTCTGTGTGAGAAGAGGCCTTTGGTCAGCAGTGGACACTTATAGGCTGTTAATGTTGAGACGTGTGTGAAGCCGTATCTACAGCTAGCAAAGGAATAATGGGCTACATACCTTTACAAAAAACTTCCGTTATTTTGGACAAAAGATATTTTTGATTACGGTAAGCATAATCGGGGGGGTCCAACTTAGATGGCGTGTTCGTATTATACGTAAAAGGCTTTTTCACCTTATCTACCACACTCCCAGAGATTTCCTTGAAACCTGTAAATAAAATGATTATTGATCACGCATAACACACCTTTATTAAAGTTTGTTCAAAGTCAAAGTCAAAATCATTACTCTTGAATCCAATTCCGATCGATCGACATTACGGTATTGTGAAATTTCGTAATCTTTTGTTACAACACTAGCGCCCATCGCATCCGTATTGCGTAGATATTGAATGAACTAAATGGTATTGAGTTTGACTTATGCTATTTTAACAGCTACGATTGGGGTTGTATAGTTTCGACATTGCATAGACATTGAGATTGGTTTCAAGAGTAAGGGGTTGCCTCCACGAGCGAGAGAATCGCGACGAGTCCGCCTTTATATCGTCGGATAATCTCCACGAACGAGCGATAATTCCGCCGCGTATCGTCGCGAGTCGTTACGGTATCGCGGCGATTCCGCGGCGACTCGTAACGGAATCTTTTGCCACGTCTTCGCTTAACGAGAGGCAATGCTGAAATGACTCTGCGTTTGACAGCGCGCCCGCCGCGCACTCGTCGCGAGAGCGCCGCGTCCGCGCGGCGGTCGCGTTGCTAGTCGCGGCGGGCTAGCGACGATGTAATGACGTTTTCCGCGCTCGTTGCCACTCGTCACATCGCGGCGATAATATCACCATTCCATAATAATATCATGGTTCCATAGAGAGTGTATAGAGGTAGAAAAACGTGGCACGGCGATATATCGTCGCGATTCTCTCGCTCGTGGAGACAGCCCCTAAGCGCCAAGGAAGACATTTTTGAGCGTCATAACAAAATATTTAAAATGTCAGTCTGTCGGTCCGCCCTCTATTTGCAGTTGCTCTATTTGCTCGTTCCAAGGTGTAGATTCCTACGGAGAAGACCGAGCAAGAAACTCCATAGGTTACTCTTTTTTTCAATCAGGATCACAATAAAAAATAATGTCAGTTACGGTACCCCCTCATTATACATCTATGAAACTGTAT